AATTATTTAATTATATTTATATATTTAAATTTATATAAATAATTATAAGCATTTATATATTGGACATATCAATATTTAATATTATGATATGCATATAAATCCTTCTATTTTTATTCATATTTAATTTTTTACATTAAATAAATTCAAAAAAATTATTCAAAAACTAGATATATGGATCCGAGTTGAAATGGTACTTTACAGGCGAATGGGCATCGGGCTCACACTCGTCCAAAAAATGGAGGAATGGTTCCGCTCCAAAGGCGCCGAATACTCATACATCGCTACAGATATTGACAACGAAGCCTCTATCAGCCTTTTCACTCTGCGCTCCGGCTACACCAAATTCCGCACCCCTTCCATTCTCGTCCACCCCGTCTTCGCCCACCGCTTCCCTCTCCACTACCGCGCCCTCCGCCTCCTCCCTATCTCCCCCTCCGACGCCGAACTCCTTTACCGCCGCCGTCTATCCACCACCGAGTTTTTTCCCCGCGACATCGGCTCCATTCTCCACAACCCCCTTTCCCTCGGCACTTACCTCGCCCTCCCCTCCGATTACTCCTGGACCGGCCTCGATAGTTTCCTCGCTGAACCGCCAGCTAGCTGGGCCGTTCTCAGCGTCTGGAACTGCAAAGCCCTCTTCCGGCTAGAGGTCCGCGGGGCCGGGAAATGGCGGCGGTGGCTGTCAAAGGCCACGCGGGCTATCGACAAAGCGCTTCCCTGTTTCAGAATACCGTCGGTGCCTGATGTTTTCCGGCCGTTTGGGATGTACTTGATGTACGGGATTGAGGGGGAGGGGAAGGACGCGGCGGAGATGGTGCGGGTGCTGTGTAGACACGTGCATAATATGGCGAGGAAAGGAGGTTGTGCCGCGGTGGCAGCGGAGGTTGCGGCGGAAGAGCCGTTGAAGAAAGGGATACCCTATTGGCGGCGGATGTCGTGCGCAGAAGATTTGTGGTGTGTGAAGCGACTGGCGGAGGAGTATAGTGATGGGGCGGTCGGAGATTGGACAAAGGCGGCGCCGGGCAAATCAATTTTTGTTGATCCCAGAGAGTTTTGATCAAAACATTTTTCAAATTTCCTTTTTTTTTTTACTAAATTTCGGCGTTATTATTTTTTACTAACTTGGGAGCTTGGAATTTTTCTTGCAACGGCTATGTAGAAGAAGACGATCTTATGTGTAAAATGGTTGCGTTGGGTTAGATTTACCGGAAAGAGGGAAAAGAAATTTGTCTGGGTTTTTTACCCGCTTCGATGTAATTCTATTATGAATTTACTAGTTATTCAAAGAAATTTGAAATTTCTGTTTGAATTTTTTATATAAATAATTCTTTGTAATTTCTTTTAAGTTGGGCTTCTTGCATAATGATAACTTATACATGTAGAATTAAAATTCAATAGTACTTTTTAAATAAATTCTATGAAAT